CTCTGGGGTCCGAGGGTGTTTTGGGGCCTGGAAGTGTTGACATGCCGTGCTTTTTTTGCTTTTTTCAGTTTCTTATAAACATACAAATGGCAAAATTCTGATTAAAAGCGACAAGTGCAAAGTGGTCAAAGTGGTGTCCCATAGAGTAAACAACATAATTTTAGCTTGCCAATGCCAACCAGTAGCTTTTCACTTCACTATTTCTATATCAGCTGTTATAGTCACTGAGCTCATGAATCTGGGTAAGTTTAAGTGTTTGGTAATTAATTAATTCATGTTTTTTTTTTGTGGTGTGTGACCTGATTTTACCCATCGCAAGTTATGGCTGTATGATAAAATGACTTCATGCGTTGTATTTCTAGCCACAGCAGTGTTCAGGAAATCTAAACGATTATTTTATTTATAATATTTACTAAGACTTACAGACCAAAGCCCAGAACTTGACCTAAAGGAATAGTTCACCCCAAAATAAAAATGTGATGAAAATGTACTCACTCTCGGGCCATCCAAGCTGTAGATGAGTTTGTTTCTTCATCTGAACAGATTTGGACAAATTTAGCATTACATCACTTGCTCACCAATGGATCCTCTGCAGTGAATGGGTGCCGTCAGAATGAGAGTCCAAACAGCTGATAAAAACATCACAATAATCCACAAGTAACACCACTCCAGTCCATAAATTCTTCTAGACAAAATACCAGTCCATAATCCATAAAAACGCTTCCTCCAGTGAAAAAGTCCATCCAAAGTTGTCCTCTCACATTAAAATCACCTACATGTTTGTTTAGAACTGTTTGGGACTGTTTTTGCTTGTAAATTGTAGAATAGTTATAATTTACATATTGTAAATTCTGTACATATTTCTCTCAGATGAGACAACATTTTTATGAGAAAGCAATATTATGGATAGAGGAGCTGGAGGCAATGGTTTGAAGTTTAAAAATGTCTTGATGGATTTGTTTCTTACAAACATGCAGCTTTTCGCTTCAGAAGATGTTAACTGATGGACTGATGGTGGTGTGGATTACTTGTGGATTATTGTGATGTTTTCATCAGCTGTTTGGATGTCATTCTGACGGCACCCATTCACTGCAGAGGATCCCTTGGTGAGCAATTGGTGAAATGTTAACCTTAATCCTGATCAAAGTCTAGGATGTGAGAATCGTCTCTGATAGGACTCATGTCTGACAGGTGTTTGATTTTTAATCTAATTTGTACATTTAAAAGCACTGCATCATATTTACACATTGAGTGAGTGGGCTGGTGTTCATGGTGGGCTTAAAGTGAATATTTTTGTTTCGTGCTGTTAGAGCTTGGGATGGCTAGTGGCGTTTCAGATCCATCATCAGACAGACCCCAGGTGGCAGGAGAGTAGTGTCACCACAGACTGATTCTGGGTCAGTGTATTTGTGGCCTGTTTGGATTAGCCTTGCTGATAGCATCAGAGCTCTAGAATATCCTACCAAGAAGTATGATGAAGAAAATGTGTGGTTCTTCCCCTGTGGAGAGGAACCTTACTGTTAGTGTTCAGCTCATTAAATTTGAAACTGAGTCACAACTATATATAAAAAAATCTGACCATAATATTTCCTATATATATTAATAATTAAGATTTTTCTTTTTTTTTCCTATTAATGTTCATCAGTGCTTCATTCTATTTGATTGACATTGCTTTTGACAATGAATATGCTGATTTGGTGCTCAATTATTATTAATTATTATTATAGTTTTTTTTTTATTTTTGGTAATAGTTTTTTAAAAAATTATTATTATTATTGGTATTTTAAATCCATACTGGAGTAATAGCTGCTGAAAATTCAGCTTTGCCATCACAATAATACATTAGATTTTAACATATATTAAAATAGAAAACAGTTGTTTTAAATTGTAATAATAACAATTACAAGATCAATATCAAATGAATGTAGCCCTGGTGAGAATAAGAAACTTCTTGCAAAAATATTAACAAATCTTAATTATTCTAAACGTTTGACCAGTAGTGTGTGTGTATACACACACACACACACACACACACAGTGATTATTACACATAATATATGCAGTATGCAGGCCTGTGTCCCTAGTATGCTTTTTATCTGAACAACATGACATCATGACAACATGAGCTCTTCTGCTAAGACTGTTGTTGAATTTCCCATGAGCTAACACAGAGGAAGTTACATGTGTCTTACGCATCAATCATGAAATAACAGTCCCAGGCCCTCTCAGTATGGTTTCACTGCATCTCATCTAATAGTTTAGGCATAATACTCTGCTAATCCTCTACTCCTTTCTTTTTTCCATCTTTTCACTGGCCTGTTTCTCTCTGTGCCCATTACATTAGAGAGCTCCTGCCTTTCCCAGTGATTTCACCTCCCCCACTCCCCTCGAAGCTTCTGCTCATGTCTGCTGGCCTAATGAAATGAGACTGTTATTGGAATGTATTAGGCCAGGTTCGGTCTGATCCAGGCAGCTGGCACGGATGCATTTCCAGACTGTCATGCTTGCTTTCATGAACAGAGTATCATCAATGAACTTAAGGATTTATCTTCTGATTGCTTTCAGATGGCAAGGTGGAAGTGACCAAGGAAGGCATGAAACTCTGCACCATGGGACCAGGGAAGGTGTTCGGAGAGCTCGCCATCCTCTATAACTGCACCAGGACTGCTACGGTACAGAGTGAGTGAGGAGAACAACAATGCACCTGAACATCTGCAATTCCAAATTGTTAAAGGGGTCATGAAACGCAGTTTCAGATTTGTATATTATGTCTCTCAAGGTTAGTTTATAAAGTTTGCAAAAGTTTTTGCAGCAAAAACTGTCTAGTATTAATAAAAAAAAAACATAATTTTCCATCCTCATTTTCACTCTCTGAAAAAAACCAAAAACCAAAAAAAAAAACCCCTCAGTCTCAGGGGGTGTTACCTCTTACATAAATGTAAGTAAACGCCCACTGTTGTGATTGGCTAACTTCATTGCACCATATTAAAGGCAAAATGTCTGCATTAATAAGCTTCTGCTCATGTCTGCTGGCCTAATGAAATGAGACTGTTATTGGAATGTATTAGGCCAGGTTCGGTCTGATCCAGGCAGCTGGCACGGATGCATTTCCAGACTGTCATGCTTGCTTTCATGAACAGAGTATCATCAATGAACTTAAGGATTTATCTTCTGATTGCTTTCAGATGGCAAGGTGGAAGTGACCAAGGAAGGCATGAAACTCTGCACCATGGGACCAGGGAAGGTGTTCGGAGAGCTCGCCATCCTCTATAACTGCACCAGGACTGCTACGGTACAGAGTGAGTGAGGAGAACAACAATGCACCTGAACATCTGCAATTCCAAATTGTTAAAGGGGTCATGAAACGCAGTTTCAGATTTGTATATTATGTCTCTCAAGGTTAGTTTATAAAGTTTGCAAAAGTTTTTGCAGCAAAAACTGTCTAGTATTAATAAAAAAAAAACATAATTTTCCATCCTCATTTTCACTCTCTTTGAAAAAAACCAAAAACCAAAAAAAAAACCCCCTCAGTCTCAGGGGGTGTTACCTCTTACATAAATGTAAGTAAACGCCCACTGTTGTGATTGGCTAAGTTCATTGCACCATATTAAAGGCAAAATGTATGCATTAATATGTTACTTTAAATCATTAAATACCTTATGTCTCAGCTGAGTACTCTTATAGTTTAAACCATTGTGAGTTCGCCTATAAGAAGGGTCATTACAGTGTAACTCGATGAAGTTACGGTACCGTACCTGAAACTTTTAAATGATATTCCCTCTGCACTTCGAAAACACACAAGCATACATCACCGTTTCTCCCACATGAGAAGAGTTTCTTTGACAGGAGAACCACAACAACACACAGATGCAGTGGCACAGAAATACTGATGTAATGAGGTCAAAGGTGTATGTTTATCGTGTAATTTAACATGTATTTGAACGTAGCTGAACCAATCAGAATCAAGGACTGGAAGGTAAACCTTCTTCCCATTGACAACATTCTGGCAGAGGGCAGCAGATTTTCCTCAAGAATTTGACGGTATTTTGCCCCATCCATTTTTCCTTCTGTCCTGACAAGTGCTCCAGTCCACTCCAGAGAAACACCCATAACAGGATATTACCACTTCCATGCTTTACTGTAGGAATGGAGCTGTATTGGATTTCCGCCAAACATATCGTTTGGTGTTGATAAAATAAAATAATTTAAATGAATAAATAGTTGGCCAAATAATTCAATTTTAGTCTCATCTGCCTCAGAATCTTCAAGGTGCGTTT